TGTGTGTGTGTGTGTGTGTGTGTGTGTGTGTGTGTGTGTGTGTGTGTGTGTGTGTGTGTGTGAGAGTGTGTGTGTTTGTGTGTGTGTGAGAGTGTGTGTGCGTGAGTGTTTGTGCGCGCGTGTATTTTTGTGTGTGTGTGTGTGTGTGTGTAAGAACTGGGTCGAGGTCATGTGTGCTTCAGTCACACAAAAACTATTTCCAAAACAACAACAGTAGGGTTGGGCGCTCTGTCAGTATATACCGTGTGACAGTAGGAATGTGTTATTTCACACTGACAGGACTTGATATGGCCTTGTTCTCTCTCAGATCGGGACCATGTTTTTGCGTGGTGTTTCTGGTGGAGAGAAGAAGAGGTGCAGCATCGGGATGGAGCTCATCACGTCCCCCTCCCTCCTGTTCCTGGATGAGCCCACCACAGGCCTGGACGCCAACACTGCCAACGCCATCATAGAACTGCTGCAGAAGTACCACACGCTCTCTTATCAGATACACCTACTTCTTGGGAACAAGTGAACAATGAAGTCTCCCATTAAAAAATAAATAAATAAAATACACTTTCTCCTTAATCTTAACCTTATAAATTCTGACCTCTAAACTAAAACAAATTTAAATTATTGATAATGTAGACAATCTCATATTTGATACATTAGGCTTTTGTGACTTATGTAGTATCATATAGGAGAATATGAAGCTCATTTCTGAGGAGCAAAAGAAATCACCTACATTTTATTAAGGCTGAGCAAAAATATGCTATTTGGTGCAGTTGCTTAATATTTATTTGGCCAAAAAGCGAAATTCGGAGAGCCTGTAATTTAAATCAGTAAGATTTTTATGACAGTATAGCAGTCTACTTAAATAAAATGCATATAAATATCAGTTGCCACTATATATCTCCCAATAAAGTCTTAGTAAGATGATATTTAAATGATTAAATGTTTTATGATTAAAACATATAATGCAACACAATACAATGATTATTGAGAGATGTACAAATAAACATTTCTCAAAAGCCTGATGTATCATATTTGATACATTTTAACATGGTTTAACGTGTATACAGACACATGAACAATGACCTGAAATGCATTTTTAGAATTATACTAAAAGGCCTTTTACTCGCTAAAAAGTATAAACTATCATTCTGACAACAAAAGGCATGTAGTAGAAAGTTTTGATCATGCTAATAAATAAGAGGCCTTAGAAATGTGTGTATTAAATATGAGGCTTCACAGGCTTATACTGTTAATATGCGGAGACAATAATAAGCAATTTGTATTTTGTAGAATACTTTACCCTTTTCACAAAAGTGTAAAGTGTACTGGGGTTCATTCTTTTAAAACATTGTATGAAGTGCTTTTTTAAAAAAGTACAAGCTTTATAAACCCTCCAGTGCATTCTTCCCATTGACATCCATTGAGAGTGCATTACTGTACACGTATTACTGAGAGATGAGTCAAAATAATGATGTGTGGTAAATGACTGCCTGTCACAGATGAGTTAAAATTGTATTTGAAGCCCCAGAAAATTGCACAACATTTGACATGTTTTTTACTGTAGCTGTCAGAAGAAACCACATTCCACTTCAAATGTAAAGCACTGTCACATACAACCTGTTTTTGTCTGTTTTGATCATGAGAAATGCAGAGATTGATATGTTGATCATTTGTTGTTTTGTTACACAGGCTCTCCAAAAAGGGTAAGACTGTGATCTTCTCCATTCACCAGCCGCGCTACTCCATCTTCAGCCAGTTTGACCACCTCACACTCATGAATAAAGGAGAAATCATCTACGCAGGGGCCGCCAACAAAGCCATTACCTACTTTGAGGACTTGGGTACTGACAGACATACTTAATTCAAATGCAAATCCACAGTGATTCGCTCAGACTTGTGTCAATGTGTCGTAGGTTACAAGTGCGAGCCATTCAACAACCCGGCAGACTTCTTCCTGGACGTCACAAACCGAACCGTCCTTCCTCAAATACACAACAATCAATCAGGTGCTGAAAGTTTCATTATTTGAAAGAATTAATACTTTTTTTCCAGCAAGGACACATTAAATTAAATCCAAAGTGAGACTTCTTTTGAAAACATAAAAAATATGAATTATGCTACATCATACGAAATATATTAATGATAAAAATTTGACACGACATTACCATCTCAATAAGCAGTACTGGAGGCAGACTGTATTGTAGCATGACTGTAGCTCAACACTGACCAATCAGCATCCAGGACTGGAGTTTTTATTTGAATATGCATCCTTCTGAGCAATGCTGCTGGTACTTTACATGGACATCTCTTGTAGTTTGGTCAAAACTAAAGTTTTGACTACTCTGTGATCAGCTAACCCTCTGTGTTTGGTGTGTTTTTAGACAAGTGTAGCAGCAGTGAGGAGATGGAGGAAAATGAGAACCCTCTGGCGGTCATTTACAGACAGTCCCCTCATTTCCTCAAAGTAAAAGACAGACTCAGTCAGATTTCAGATGGGCTTGAGGTCACTAAAGGTGACAGGGTCGGTTACGCCACACCTTTCTATTACCAGGTATGTAGAAGCAATGGTTTAGCTAAGCTTGTGTTGACTCATCAGGTAGATAACCAGGAATAAAATCAATAGATGACCTCTGTACATGGGTGATGAGTGTATGTCCATGTTGCAGCTCATGCTGGTGAGTGGCCGCACCGTAAGAAACATTTGGAGGAATCCTCAGACATCCTACGCCCAACTCTTCCTCAACATTTTCTTTGGTATTTTAGTGGGACTGATCTACTACCAGATCCCACACACTTTACCAGAGGCTCTTCAGAACAGGTGAGCACCTGCTACCAGATCCAGTGCTCACAATTAGATTGCATTGGGTCCAAAATGACCTTTCTGCCACAATTTAACAGTTTAAATTCATGGTGCGGAAATTAAAGAATGTAAGTAGAAGATGAGGTCAGAAAAATGAACCCTGTAAAAGCCTGACGAATGGCCCATTCCTCGCCTGAAAAAGCGTTCAGATCACTGACAGTCTTTGGTTTTCACGTTGCCACTACTTTCTTCAAATTCAACCAAATATTTTCAATGAGAGTTAAATCTGGAGACTGAACAGTACATCCTATGTCTGATCCCTGAACCAAGCATTCGCAGATTTGGATGTATACTTTGGAGGCCTTGGAAAGTCAAAGTCAAGATACAATTACTTTATTGTGTTAATAAATATACATAAATAATAATATAATTAATACATCAATAATTCAAGCTCAATTCTTTTTATACACATAAGGATTGTACCTATTGCACCTGTGTTTAAGTTCTAGCAGTTATTGTGAAACGTTGCATTTGTTGTCTCTCTTCAGAACGGGAGCTTTCTTTTTTCTGGTCATCAACATGGTGTTTGGCAATCTGTCTGCGGTGGAGCTCTTCATCAGCGAGAGAGTGCTCTTCATGTGAGTCAACATCCAAACGTTAGCTCTCCAAACTATTATTCCAGTTAGACAAAGACCATCATCACATGTTCCTCTCACCTGCAGCCATGAGAACTCGAGTGGTTTCTACTGCACCTCTGTCTACTTCCTGTCCAAAGTGTTTGCCGACCTCATACCAAACCGCATCCTCCCCGTCTTCATCTTTTCTGCCATCCTGTACTTCATGATGGGTGAGTAGTGTCACTATCTTCTAAAATACCTTCTTGGGGAATATTTTAGGAGGCATTGTGTGTATCCTTCTCCACAAAGACAGTCCCATAGTGCACTGTGACAAGATCAGGGAAAACATCCAAGCTGGCGAATGAAGCAATGGAAATGTTTTCAGTCACTGTTACTTTATTAGTGGAGTAATGTAAGGAAAAGTGAACGAGGGTCACTGGGTGTTGCCATTTCGGTACTGTCCATATTGACAAAAGTGGCCAGAATGAAAAAGATTAAGTGGCAGCTGCTCATTGTTATTGTGTCACAAATGACACATATAAACATAAATCACATTAATAACAGTTTACAGCCCTTTGCTTTGTTTTTTTGCTGTACCTATAACATTACACTGTTTGAATGAGCTTCATCTCAGGTCTGAAGCCTGACGTGGAGGCCTTCTTCCTGTACTGTTTGACCATGAGTATGGTCAGTCTGTCAGCGGTGAGCTTGGCCTTCCTTGTCAGTGCCAGCGTGGGCTCCTTTGCCATGGCTAACATCCTCATCGCGCTGCCTTATGTCTTAATGATGGTGAGTTTAGCCGAACACAATAGATTTACAGACATGTAGATTGTTTGCTTTTTCTAATTGGTTCGGTTCACTGTTTTTTTAACATTTCAAAACGTTCCAAAATTATAGATTATACAAAAAATCTTTATTTTAAAAATTCGGATTATTTGAATGCACTGCAATTGTATATGTCTAAACAAACCGAACTAATGGAGACATGCCAGGTTCAAAAATAAACGCTTCAAACGCACCAGCTGTTAACATGACCTTAGATTCCAGTTGTATGAGGTAAACAGCAATTAAAGGCATAGTTCACCCAAAAATGAAAATTCTGTCATTAATTCCTCACCCTCATGTCGTTACAAACCCGTAACACTTTCGTTCATTTTCAGAACACAAATTAAGATATTTTTGATGAAATCCGAGAGCTTTCTGACGCTGCATAGACAGCAACACAAATGACACGTTCAAGGCCCAGAAAGGTAGTAAAGACAACGTTAAAATAGTCCATGCGACATCAGTGGTTCAAGCGTAATTTTATGAAGCTACGAGAATACTTTATTGTCGAATAAAGTCGTTATTTTTGTTTTCTTGGCGCACAAAAAGTATTCTCGTAGCTTCGTGACATTACGGTTGAACCACTGCTCTCACATGGACTGTTTTACCGATGTCCTTACTACCTTTCTGGGCTTTGAACGTGACAGTTGCGTTGCTGTCTTATCAGAGTCAGAAAGCTCTCGGATTTCATCAGAAATATCTTAATTTGTGTTCTGAAGATGAACAAAAGTGTTACAAGTTTGGAACGACATGAGGGTGAGGAATTAATGACAGAATTCTCATTTTTGGGTGAGCTATCCCTTTAATGAGACGAAGGTCATGTTTATTTTTGGGACATAGCATGATTTAATCTCACAGGTTTTCCTGTCCTGTGTCTTCCCAGGTGTTTGGAGGTTTCCTAGTTAACCTGAATTCAATGCTGAGCTGGATGTCCTGGCTGAAGTGGGCCAGTATATTCCGATATGGCTACAATGTAAGAGCATAAAACCCATTACAATCCAATCAAGTCTTTTTGTTTGCATTTCAGCAGTAATCCAACCAAAGTGTCTCTCTTCAGGCACTTGCCATCAATGAACTAAAAGATCAAGTCTTTACCAGTAACTACACCAGGTAAGACTCACTCACACTCGGTGGCGCCACCTACTGGAAAAACAGAACTAACAACAGAGTTTAGTCTCTAGGAGGTGATGTGGGTAATGTGTTTCAACTGCAAACTCTCTCTTACTAGCAGTGTGAGAGGTGACATGTACCTGGATCATCAAGAGATCGACCACAGCACTTGGGGCTTTTGGCAGAACCAGGTAGCTCTGACAGGCATTATGTGCGTGTGTCTGATTCTTGCGTATGTGCAGCTGCGTCGGATTAATCGCTGGAAGTGAAAGAATGACACTAGTTGTGTAATCAGTGTCACTAACTTTTTTTTACATTTTGAACCCTGAAATCAGGAAATCACACATGTACAGTGAAATATGTCAGCCACACACAGAATCCACAACTCGCTACCTCAGTTTCTTCAGACCTGCTACCTCCAAAACTACCTGTGACATGAAGTATAAAATTGCTTGGAACTTTGTAAATGTTTAATTTTATATAAAAGTTGTAAACTAAATACAGATGCTGTGAATGATTAAAAAAGAAAAAAAATGTATGTCTCGCATGTGCTTTTATTTTGATTGGTTTGGCAAATTCCCTTAAAGAAACACTCCTGATTTTTGATTTTGAAATTGTTGAAAATAGGCTCATTTTCCAACTCCCCTAGAGTTAAACAGTTGAGTTTTACCATTTTCGAATCCATTCAGCTGATCTCCGGGTGTGGCGGTAGCACTTTTAGCTGCAGCTTAGCATAGATCATTGAATCTGATTAGACCGTTAGCATCTCGCTCAAAAATGACCAAAAAGTTTCAATGTTTTTCCCATTTAAAACTTGACTCTTCTGTAGTTACATCGTGTACCAAGACCGTCGGAAAATGAAAAGTTGCGGTTTTCTAGGCCGATATGGCTAGGAACTATACTCTCATTCCGGCGTAATAATCAAGGAACTTTGCTGCCGTACCATGGGTGCAGCAGGCGCAATGATATTACGCAGCGCCTGAAAATAGTCCCCAGCACACTCCCTGTGCAAGCAGGTGGTCACGTTGGTTATGTTGATGGAAGTTAGCCTATTTTCAGGCGCTGCGTAATATCATTGCGCCTGCAAACTCAACTGTTTAACTCTAGGGGAGTTGGAAAATGAGCTTATTTAAAAAAAAAAAAAAAAGTGGAGTGTTACTTTAAAGCCAAATTGTATTTTGTGTTTTATCTATTGCCAAAGTGGCAAAATTAGTAGACCTTACTATTGGCATAAAGAAAAATACACTTTCCACTAATTAAAATAAAATTACAATACACTTAAAAATAAACCTTTTAAATGTAAGAATTAAGGTTTTATACATCGAGACATGGACGTTGTACTTCAGCAGAAAACTGAGATCTGCCGTCATGTTAAACGTGGCAAAGTGTCGGTTGCCTGAATAACGAAATCAGCGTTGGAGGATTTCTCACTGTCACTCAAAACTCCTGATCTTATTTTCCTATTGAAAATAGCAGATTTTGAAATTTCACAGAGCAACAGTAAACATCTTAACAGACTGCACCTTAAGAAAGGTGGCTTTTTAAGCTAAGACTAAATGATTGGAAAAGTCCAGGTTACAATCACCAGAAAGACGTTTAAAAATTTGTTTCGTGCTTAAGTTTATAAACTTTACAAATAATAACAGACACATCATGTGGTTTTTTAACTTCCAGAGCTGATCTACTGCCAAAAAAGGGTTTCAAGACAAAGGAACCACAGAGAATGGGGTTGAAGTTGGTTTTATTTTCATTTTTAAAAAACAAAAGCTTCAGTCTGAACAGTGTCAAGCACAAGGATAAAATCTGACATTTAGAAGCAGTGACAGATCAATCAGTGAAGGGCAACAGTTAGTGGGATCAAATGAAGAATGTCAACATCTCGTCCCCTTCAGCTTATTAACTAACACAAAATGACAGTTATAAAGAGAATTTACTTCCATTAGGACCAAAACTATGATTTAAATCACTGGCCTTGCAGGTGCATTTGCACAGTTAAAGAGGGAGGCAGGGATTTTAGAGCATCCAAAGCATTTCATTCTCAGGGGTTTCAGACCTCCTTTTCTGATAAAGGCACAATCTATTTCCATATATACTCATGCTATAATCATATGAAGAAACAACTAAAAGAACATTCATTTTAAAAACAAAAGTCTGCAAAATAGCAAAAAAAAATATCCAGTTTCAGTGCACTTCCCATGTATGCCATTCATATCTCTCCACACCCCTGCCCCCTCAAAATACATGTCCTTTCAGTAAAAGCTTTCTTGCCCCAGAAACAAGGCTGTTAAATTAGCTGTGACAGTTCAATTTCAAATGTCACTTTTTAAAAGAAAACCCAAGTATTGATTTCAAAACAGGAAAGCAGCTCTACAATCAATTCTCCTTTAGTTTCCTAAGATTGTTGTGGAACGCTCTGCTCATCCTTTAGCTCCACACGTGACGCCTGCAGTGATCCAAGGCCTACAACACAAACACAGAAGCTTCATTCACATCACAGTCTGTTTCTGATGTGCTGCAAGACAACATTTTACACTCAAAACATAAATCGCAAGCAATACTCACGTTACAGCGAGAAGCGGTCTCCACGTTCTTACACCAGTATGCTGGCCCCCAGCTGCACTGCTCCAATCCCAGCAGCTTCTGCACTGCCTCGGGACATGCTCCCAGCTTCTGTACGCACAAAAACCCCCAACAAACTCAGTCAGGGCTCACTTATCACATGATTTGAGCTGGAGAGCGGAGGGTAAATCTTACCATGCAGACGAAGTCCGGGTCGAGCGTCTGGAGCAGCAGCTGTACCAGCAGAGGCTCATACTGCTCAATGAGCTGGTGACACTGCAGGAAGAAGAGCACACGGTTAGACACACACACTTATTAGGGGTGTGAATTGTCACTGGTTTCACGATTCGATATCACAATTGTATCAAATTTATTTTGTGCATTTTTATTCAATTATATAAGCAGGCTACTTTTTAAAATAATTACAAATTAATAATAAATCAAAACAATTGTTAAGAATTTAACCAAATAAAATATAGCTTCAAAACGTAAAAAGTAATAAGGGGGGGAACAGTGAGCGCAAGCTACATTAAAGTGATTATTACTTTTTGAATATGGATATTTTTCTTACAAAAACGCATCGATTCTCTACAGAAGGCCTTTGTTCACCCCCCGGAGCCGTTTGAGACACTTTTTTTTTTATGGATGGGTGCTTTTTATTTAACTTCTTTTGGACTGAAGCACTGCAACACCAGCTGAGTGGCATTAAACAGGTTGAACGATCAAAGACAATTTTTAATATAACTCCGACTGGATTCGTCTGAAAGAAGAAAGTCATATACACCTAGGTTGCCTCGGGGGTGAGTAAAACGCAGCCTCATTTTCATTTTTGGGTGAACTAACCCTTTAAAGCTTCTCTTTTGTCTCATTACAAGAATGGGAAAATGGCTGATGCATGTTTCGTTCCTAAATGTACAATAATGCAACCCAAATTTCATAGCAAATCAAAATCTCACACTGCATGTTGCTGGACAACAGCACAGTAGAAAGTTTGCTGACAATCTTGTTGCATTTGTTCTGTTGTTGGGTGTATTAAAAGAATGAAGTATGGGTGTCTGTTTACTGTAAGCGTGACCTACCTCGTCTCTGACCGCATCAGGCAAGAAGCTGCAGACCTTCATCACAGCGTCCTCGATCTCCGCCTGAGTGGCGTTCTGCTCTAGGATCCCGTCCACATAACGCACTGCCATCTTACACACGTCACAGAAGCCGCCCGCCTCAAATCGTTGCTTGTCCATTACAGCTGCAACAATAAACCGATAAAATGAATCTCTCACATCTAAAAAAAGAGAAACAAAGGGAATATTATACTGAAAACAAATGTATTATCAGCACTTACAGACATGGCTGACCCCATTGCAGAGTGCGAGGAAAGAGCAGATGGTTTTGGGATCGGCCTCCTGCATGAGCAGTTCAATGATGGCCTGGCCGTAGGTCTCAATCAGGTCCTTGCACTGAGCCGTGAGTGTGGAGGGTAAAATGTTGCAGACTTTCTCCACAGCATGCACAATCTCTTCCTAAAAAACCACAACAGTGTCGGCACACCATTAACAGGAAATTTATAAGGATGCAAATTCACATCAAGTTCTCCAGAAAAATCTGAGTGTGAAAAAAAAAAACACTAACACAATGTGTCTCATCCAATCAGAACTTACTATCGGAACCATAAATATTGAAATACGGATTGTTTTTAACTCAAGTATTTCATAATGTGAAGCCATTTCTGCACTGCATATTGATGATGAATATTATAGTTTGACTAAAAAGAGAAAATCCAATGCAGGCTATTGTTTGCTGACTGGAAACACCAGGATCCTTTCATATTTATCTGCTTTCTCTTCTCTGAATGGAGAAGGCCTTTTTCCATCAGTCCCACCTGCTGCTATGTTTGTCTCGCTGGCTTCAATCAATCTTAATATCTAATCGTTTATGGAAATCTGCACATATTTCTACCAATTCTACTGGTCATTACAGTTTATGAACACTGACAATCAATGGAGAATCGGTTATTTGACATGTGGCTTCATACCTCAGATGTGTGATCCTGAATCATATCCTCAACTTCCTTCATCACAAACTCACAGATGGCACACTGAGGACTGTCGCGTATTTGCACCAGATTCTATCAAAACAGACACACGTGCATGAAGGAAACATCCTGCATTTTTACACACCTTCTCAACTCGAGTTTAATTTGAATGTGAATGTTATTTACAGCCCATAACAGCTGACAACAGTTTAGAGTCATTAAATTAATTTACATTGTCAAAACAGAGGTTGAAAGTACAGTTATCTAACAGGTCAGTGGGGGAAAAAAATCAATTTTCTTGAACCAGTGACATGTAAACATATAAAGCGGTTTTAAATGCTCAAAAAATGTTAAACTACCAAATTCACAGATTCATAATCCAGATGAAAACAACAGAAGTTATATGCTATTGTACCTTAGCAGGCTTGGTTTTGACAGGCGTTTCAAGTTTGGTTGCAGGGAACATCTTGACAGCAGGGATTGATTTGGCAGGCATCAGCTTCTCCATGCGCACAGACTTGTTCTGAGGGGGGCAGAATCCAGCACGAGAGCAGATGTCCTTGGCTTGCTACAGAGGGATTGGAGGAGGCAAGGACACATTCAGTAACACGTCACCAGTTACACAAGAGAAAGACAGGATGAGCAGAATTTCAGACATGCACTGACTAATACATTCATGCACCATCTTCCTGGATGACGTCATGCAGCATCCAATGTATAACACCTCTCTGACTAACTGATTATCCATGATGCTGCTCCACCTCATGCCCACAGTATACCATATCACCCTGCCAGTCTGACGGCTGCCATGCATGCAAGCACAAGAAGTGCAAGTATGATCTGATGAATGGCAAAAGCTAGTGGTTCAATTAATAGACCAATTTATCTAATTCAACACTTTATAACAACCACATGTTCAAATGAAAATGTGTTTGAATATCAGCTCACAGGTAGGGATGGAGGTTAAAGATTTTGTTCCAATTCCAAATCACGATTAATCGGTTCCTTAATGATTCTTTGAGTACTTGGACACAAACCTAAAATTCTATTG